AGAAAAAAAGAAACAACAAATTTGAGCCTGATTTTTACAGTCAGGGACAAAACCAAGAGCATGCTCGTATTATTCTTTAACATTCGCAGGCTTGTGCAACATGAATCAATCATTGCAAATGTGAACTATTCTTATTCATTGAAGGAAACATAAGGCACAAACACCTGGAATGTGGCACAACTGCATGCTCCATCACGATGTTCTCATTCAAAGTGGATTCAAACAAATCGTATTGGCAGAATGAACCCTGCTCGACAGATTTGGCTCCCAGCCCCAGCCTTGTGAATTGCTTATGGTGCATGTTGTGCTTAAAGATTGGGAGTTCTAAGTAGGAACACTGGGAACCGTCTGTGTCTGGACAAAGTTATTGTGTTGAAGGAGACCATGACCAAATTTAAATCAGGAACAGTTCTGACCTGTTGAAGATCTGTGAGATTTTTGATCTCAGGTCATATGACTTCCAAATGTGTCACTTCAAAGTATCTTTTCCTCAAGATGGTGCAGTGATACGAATTCTCCCCAGTGTGATGTCATGTGCATCATCAATTAATCAATAAGCATGAAAGATCTATGATTTTTAAGTATGAATTTTTAGATGCCTTTTCATGTCTGACGAACGACAGAATCTTTTCCCACAGGTGTTGCAGGAGAACGGCTTCTCACCTGTGTGAATTTTCATGTGGACTTTCAAACCACTACTACTTACAAAACATTTCTCACATATTTCACAAGAATGCAACTTTTCACCTGTGTGCAGGCTCATATGACCTTTTAAACCTGACTTCACTATAAATGTTTTCCCACAGGTGTTGCATGAATATGGCTTCTCACCAGTGTGACGCCTCATGTGGACTTTCAAATCACTACTACTAACAAATCTTTTCCGACATATTTTACAAGAATACGGCTTCTCACCTGTGTGAGTTCTTATGTGGATTTTCAAATCACAAATACGAACAAAACATTTCTGACATACTTTGCAAGAATACGGCTTTTCACCTGTGTGTAATCTCCTATGCTCCCTCAATGCTGAGATGTGATTAAAGCTTTTCCCACAGTTTTCGCAAGAAAATGGCTTCTCACCTGTATGAGTTCTCATGTGGACTTTTAAGTTGCCACTACGTACAAAACATTTGCGACATATTTTACAAATATAAGGCTTCTCTCCCGTGTGAGTTCTCATGTGGACTTTCAGATCACTACTACTTACAAAGCATTTTTGACATGTTTTGCAAATATACGGCTTCTCTCCTGTGTGACTCCTCATATGGACTTTTAAGACGCCACTCCGTACAAAACTTTTGTGACATATTTTGCAAGAATATGGCTTTTCACCTGTGTGAGTTGTCATATGCCTTTTTAAAGTGGACATGGTACTGAATGTCCTTCCACATATTTTACATAAAAATGGCTTCTCACCTGTGTGGATTCTCAGATGTATTTTTAAGTGACTCTCATACACAAAAGCTTTTCCACAAGTGTCACATTTGAAAGACTTTGTTAGAGTATTAGAGTTAATCTCTGATATGGGTGAGTTGTAAACATTGTCTCTGTGACTCCTGTTTTCATAAATACTATCCCAAGGCTTTGATTCTGGATTTCTAGTTGATCCTGAATCCACATGTTTTCTTCTGTGCTGATCTTGGCTCTCAGCTACAGGAGAGTTGTGACAGAGGAGCTGGTGCTCACTGTCTGGTTCTGGTTCTCTGTCGTCACTTTCTTCATAATCAGGAGTCAACATGAAGGTTTCAGTCTCCTGCTTCACTTCGAGCTGCTCTCCCTTCTGACTGATCCAGATTTCCTCCTGTTCCTCTTTAATCTGTTGTGGCTCTGGGTCCTCTTGATACAAACTGGAGTTCATCTCCTGGTTACAGAGTGGCTGGTCAGTGAGAACCTCCTCCTCTTTACAGACATGCTGCTGTGGGAGCTCTGGAGGAACAGAGAGACACAAGAGATAAGTAAGACCAACCAACTTTTTACCTTAAAATAGCAACTTTAAAATGACGTTGATGGTTCAGTGACTTAGAATAGGGAGAGTGGAGCCTTTTGAAACCTTTGGTCGATGTTATGAGAGCAACAATAAAGAGGAATTCATCTTAAAAATGTCTTGATGTTCACATTCATACACTAATTTAGTACAGAACAAAAAGCAGTGGAACACAAACTGATTCAATTCATCACAAATCTGACACACACAAGGTTTTTTTATTGGGACCTGGTCTCATGAGGTTCACTTCGAGATCTGTTTTGATGCATTTTCACAAATAGAATTAAGATTTCACAAACTTGAAACAGTAAAAAAAAAAAAAAAAAAGCTACTGGAGTCAATTTGTTCACCGAGTCGAGGTTTGACGGTCTGTTGTCATGTCCGAGTGGAGAACACACAGAGAATCAAGTGGAACGTTCACATTGTGGTTGTACAGACCGATCCTGTGCGGCCTCATGTCCGGGTTCAGAACGATGTCCAGCAGTCTGCGCCGACGATCCACCTCTTCTTCGTGCTGGGTTTTTCAAAGACTGTGAATATTTCTTCAGCAGCAGCAGTTAGTCGCTCAAATACTGAACCGAAGACATCGCTGCTCCGTCAACCACTCGAGGATTTACCCGAGACACGAACACACTACCGCCTCCAGCGAACTGCTAACACTGAGCTAACGCTGCTAGCGCTGCTGCCTTTGTTTACTTCCGGTGCACTTTCAACTTCCGGAAGAGAAACATTCTTTTTTCTTTTATTGAATAAAAACCACAACAACAATAATAACAAGAACTAGATCCAGATACAGTTCAACAGATGATGAGCAGACGCTGCTTTATCGATTCACGATGAGCAAGAGACAAAACAGACATGAGACTTAAATAATAAGAGACGAAAGAAAGGAATAATAAATAAATACAAATGAAGTTAAAAATCTCTTCCCTTGCTTTCGGAACCACCTTCGTCAGAGCCTTTTTTCTTCCTCTGACAATTAATTTGACTCATGGCTTGAATTCCTCTTCCCACCTTTTCCCACTCATTTTCCCTCCTCTCATCTTCCTCACTAAACTCCATGCTGTTGCTATCCGATTCCCTCCCTGACACCCTGTCAGAGTTTGCTACGAACACTTTACGTTTACTGTTCCGAACCTATTCAGGCCGTCATTCGATATTTCCACAGGCTACACACCACAAGACTCAATCCTCCTGCTCGTCAGTCCCGATGTCCACAAATCCAAACTCTGTGTCATTTAACAAAGTCTGATCGAGACGATAATGTGTTGTAGCTACACACAGTGATTCAAACTCTATGCAAACTTCTTAAGTGTTAATTGGCGGTTGTCACACAACGGGTTGGTACATTCCCGCCACCAGCTGCTAGAGTGTGGATCAAGATCTCTACTGTTTACAATTAAAAAAGAAAAACCTCTCATGTCCTGTTGATCAGATTTGTTGTTCTAAGATGTTGAGATATGATTTGAATGAATTTATTTGAGTAGAATCCAGTCTGATTATTTGATAACAGAAATTCAGAGCAAACTAACCAAATAGTACGTGTTGTATTTTAGGCCAAGTTAAAGTATTAGAAGAAAACGATCATACATCACTTCATATAAAACTTCACGTCACTGAACATTGATCACATATGTGTATGGTACAGAAATGTTTTTATGTTTCTCCTGAATGGAAAAACAGTTGTGATCACAAAGTCATTTACTGTTGTACAAAAACCATAGACTAAATAAAGACGGACAACATGTAAGCTCCCCAAGGTAAAGCCAAAATACCTTGATCCCCTTGTGGTTATCTGCAGTATAGGTCATAAACCCTGCAAAAGAATTTTCGCTTTGAATTGGTTTCTGTCATTATTTTGTTCAAGTGTTAATATTTCAAGCTATTCAAT